CCATCTTTTACTTATTGAACATCTGTGGGACTGAGTCGAAGATAGGGTTTGAAATGCAAAAGATGGTCTAGGGTCGATAAAAAAGATCTAGGGTCGATAAAAAGACATTTTCTGCCAATACAAACTATTGTAGTCAAATGGTGACTTAGGTTTTTTATGATAATTTTTAGGCCATTGTTTACAAAATGAATTTTCTACAGATTTTTTTTCATTTTCCCGATTATGACAAGGACGCGCAGCAGGTGTGATCAGGGATGCTTACTCCTCTATGACACCTGATCCCATCTCTGATGTTTTAAAGGTCCATGTTTGCTCCTCATTCCTCATGTATTGTTTGAATGGACTGTTAGGATTTAATATTGTACTTTATCTCCATATTTGATACACTTAATATATGCTTTGTTACAACGCGAAATGTAATAACAACGCGAAATGTAATAAACATGGATTATTACATTTTGCGTTATTACATTTAGCGTCGAAATCAACGCAGAATGTAATAACGCAAAATGTAACAACACACTTTTGAGGAATATTACATTTTGCATTATTACAATTTGCGGCGAGATCAACGCAATATGTAATAACGCAAAATGTAATAACATGATTTTTGCATTATTACATTTTGCGTTGTTACATTTTGCGTCGAGATTAAGCAAAAATCAAGAACGCAAAATGTAATAACACACTCTTTGGTCAGCCAGATTGAGTACAATTTTTAATAGAGTAGTGGCCGATGAAGAGGAAATAAAACAAAAGAAAAAAAAACTGATATATGCAATTTCTTACAATTAATGAATTTATTATTTAATGGATTTAATAAGCAACATGTACATGTATTTAAAATCAGATTAATAAATGTATTCAAATAATAGGTGTTGCAAATTAGAAACACGCGTGTGTAGATGGGATTGTTGGGGATATTGACCAGTGTACTTTTGGGTTTTTTTATGTAAACAAATGCAATGAATCTAAAAGAAAACCTATTTATTTCTATTGGCAGGTGTAAATATATAACGGAAGGGGTTTATTGACAAATGTGATACAATACTGTTCCATGCAAATCACCAGCATTGCAGACATCTAAAAACACCCCCCCCCCTCTCCATCCAATAATAAAATCGATTGTTTATGCATGTCCATAGTAATACAATGATAAACATACTATGCAAACACTCCACTCTATCTCTGCCCTTCCTCGCTTGACACACACATACACTTCTTTGTTAACCAATGTACACATGCCAAACATGCATATCAAGAGCTAATAATGAACCTATGGCCAATCTTTGGTAATTAAATAAATTTTGTGTTATTGGTTGGAAAGAACTTCATTCGGTAATAACCAATATTTGCCCCCCAAATCAAACTTTGATGGAGATATATTTAATTAAGTTCTAAAACAGGGGAGTATATGCTGACTTCAAAGCACTGAATATTTTCATAAGTAATGACGCCATATGTACGTAATGACGTCACAAATATGACGTAAATTTCAGTTTTTTTATGAATTTTACAGACAATTGTACATATTTCGTCAATATTTTGAGTAAAAGTCATCGAGCGCATGTGTGTTCAGGATCAATAATTTGATATAATGTGTAGAATGATAATATCAATGAAATATGTCAATATTGTTCCTGAACAAACTTGCGCTCTATAAATTTTAAAGCTAAAATTGTTGAAATTTTGTCCAATTTGTCCTGTTTCTGAAAAAGGATATAAAATCGGACTAGTTTGTTACGTCATAAAAACAAAAATTGTGAATACACTGCTTTGACACTATAATATTTTCTGCTAATTTATATTTCTCATACAATTTATTGAATTCAGCAAATTTCAGGAAGTTTTCAAAATTTGACTTCTGTGGGGGCAAATATATGCAATATACCGCATATAGTTTTTTCATGAGACTATTAAAAATATGCCAATCAAAGTTAAATTAATGCTTTACAATTTAGCACAGTGTATTCATATAACTAAAGTCAGAGTGAGAAAAACGATACATTTTGATGTATTTATGTCCGTAAAAGCCCTAACGTTGTTTAAGTTCTAAATATTTTGTACAGCGTGTCTCCCATGTTGGTTATACGTATATTTTGAATTAATTTTATGATCTTTTTTGTCAAACGCAATCAAAAAAAATAATTACATTTTGTTTTATTACATTTTGCGTTGTCTTCAGTGCAAAAATAAAATATCGCAAAATGTTACAACGAAAAAGCTCATTATTACATTTTGCGTTGATCTCGACGCAAAATGTAATAACGCAAAATGTAATAATCTAAAAATCGTGTTATTACATTTTGCGTTGATCTCGACGCAAAATGTAATAACGCAATGTGTAATAATCCAGGTTTATTACATTTCGCGTTGTTATTACATTTCGCGTTGTAACAATGCTTTGTACAGTCATGTACAATTTTACATTAGAGCCACTTTGAGCAGTGTTTGAGAGCTTGGAATTATTCAGTGATATCAGAACAATTATTTGCAAAGAGTTTTACAGATTTATTCTATATTTTACAAAGATTTATTTATTTTTGCTTTGGGCGAATCATCATTCTTGCCGACTTCAACGACTTCCATGTATTTCCCCAGTGATGCCAACTCAGTTCTTTGGCATCTTGCTTGGAGTCTTTTCTGTATACACCATTCAGATTTTCGTTTATACAATTAGATAGCCACCCTGCTGTCGTGTAGATTTGAGCACAGTGTTTTCTATAGATATCGTTGTCTCTGTCCTTCGTACTGAACTTCATATTGTTTTGCGACCCAAAGCTATCACCTGAAAGTACAAAAATGGCCTATCTTTTGATTATTTTCTGTGTGCAGAAATACAATTCTCTCTCTCCCCACATGGATTTTGCCTCTTTATCATTACATAATTGCAACTGAATCATTTAGCAGCAAAACACAATTTATCATAGTGAAGAAGTTGAATTTTTGGGAATAAGGCTCAAGTACAAAATAAGACGAAAATAGATCCTTTTTACTATTAAGTTTGATTGATTGTATATTGTTTAACACAGAGTCGGCAGTTTTTCAGCCATGTTTCGGCGGACTTATCTATCAATTTTTGCATAATTATTTAATCTAAACATTATGCATGAGAAATGGATCATAAATGTACAAAAAAAGATTTATTTTGCATATGAATTAAATCCAAATATGAATGAATATTTGTGCATTAGTTATACCAGCACTCAATAATTGCATTCTATATTGTTAACCAAGTATAATATGAAATGGATCATAAATGTACAAAATATGATATCTATTTTGCATTTGAATTAAACTTAAAAATTAATGAATGTTTGTGCATTAGTTATTGGCTATATTATTTATCATATTACCGTATTTTAATCGTACAAATCTGACACTCGACAGGTTGACATGTCGATATTATTATAAATGTGTATTTTGAAGTCATAAAAGTTCATAAATATGCTACTATGTCTGGTTGACAGGTCGACAGGTTGACATCAATATTACTGTGCAGTTTGAAGTCAAAAAAGTATATTTGTTAAGGGGTACCGACCCTCTGATATGACAGATAACTCTCAGAGACAGTGAGAGTACAAAATATGAATACTACTCACAGTTTTCTTAATCAGAGTTTCCTTATTTAGACCTCTGAGTAGTCAATTCGATAAAATCTAACCTGTGATGCAAACATTACTTTCTATTTCTTTTGCCAATCTCTTACTAATTTTTTTATTATATTTAACAATAAAACATGAAAATCCTACTTCAAAAGCATTTTAAATTGAATAATTTGTATTTTTTAAAAGACCATTTTAATAATGGTTTAATGTTTCAAGTACTTAATACAGAATTTTTATAAGTATGACATTTTTTTCATATGAAGAAATCTTTAGAAGAAAGATAACTCCTCCTCACAGACGTATTCTTTTCTTACAACCACATACAACATTGTAATTTTCTGACTTAGGAAGCATCGCTTCATGATGTTTTCTGACATGATTTTAATAGGTATTATACTAAGTGTTATTTTCTTATACACCTCATATTTCAAATTAAATGTTATGATAATAAATCGTTACTGTTTCTGTTCTCTATGTTGAAATTTCTTCATATCATGATCTGACATAAAAATCATTTCTGAAAAAATAAGCTGCGCTTCTTACATCAAACTATTTTCCATGTGGCTCTAATGTTAATGTTGTTCATGAAAATCAACATTAGAAATATTACATTTTCTGAGTGAAATTTGATAGCAGAGGGTCGGGACCCCTTAATAAACGTGCTTTTATATCTAGTTGACAGGGCGATAGGTTGACTTCAGGAATCACTGTCTAGTTATTATAGTATGCCAGGGCATCAACGATAGTGGGAAACATGGGATAATTTATGCATAACGGGCTTCACCCATTAAGCAAATTATCCCATGTTTCCCACTATCGTTGATGCCCCTATAATAACTAGACAGTGATTCCTAATATTTTCATTTCATTGTGAAATAAAATTGTAGATTTAGACTTTAAAAATGTAGACATGGATTTAAATTACGCGAGGACTCCCATGCCAATATCAATAGTCCTCTCCCACTGACATCGAACACAAGGGCAGTCGCACGAGATTTACAAGCATATTTGACCTCCTTAGAATCAGACACAGAGACAGATACGCACGAGTTTTGCATGCATAAAATGCCTCATTAGCTCCTGACCTATCGACCTGCCTAATTTATATTCCGGCAGAATTACCAAGAAATCGATTCCGCTAACTTTCAAAGAGTTATTACAGAGAGAAAAATTAGAATATATGTGTATTTCGAAGTCATAAATGAACATATGTTCATAAACATGCTACTAAGTCTCACTCTGGTTGACACGTCTGTTTACCTGTCGACCTTTCTTATGCGTAAAAAAACGTTTGTTATTTTAGATGTATTCATGTATTTTATTCAAGGTAATGATGCTTAATTATTTAAATTGAATCAGCATTGTAGAGTGAATATCAAACTTTATTATGTAAAGTATCAGAATTGGTTAATACTGATTTAATTGTTTAAATTTATTTCATTTCCGGTGTTTGAGCCTGTATGTGAGAGTGAGTGTTATAGAATTTATTTGTTCACTACTACTTTTATTTTTTACTTGTGTTAATAAGCTGATTTTTTTTTTATTCTTAAAAGGATATTTATGTAAATTAACTTTCTTAAGAATCATAGAGAGAAATCGGAATTAATTAAAATATTGTTCAATAATACTTCTCCTTACCAAGTCCTTTAGTACCCTTAAATCCACCTAGAGTTAGTTTATACTTGTCAGCCTCGTTCCCGATGTAAAACGTGGAGTATGTTGCGTGTGCTTTTTGTCTAGAGAATTTCTCCAGATCTATCCTTAATTCTTGTTTCTTGTCTTTTGTCAGTGTGTGAATTGCATCATTTCCTAAATATAAAGTTTTTTAAAACTTATTATACGGGAAGAATAATGTATATTTATATATTTTTACTTATAGATCTTACCCAGCCAATATTCATGCTTGACGTCACCAAATCCCTTCTTGTACTCGGTCCAGTTCCTGTAGAAATCAGTCACGCCATCTTGTCGTCTTTGTATCACCTGAAATCAATTCAGTAGCTGAAATACATTGCTTTGGAGTAGTTTGCAAATACTTTACTTATTTTTAACACAACACATAATGTACGTATACGTAACTTGTAAATGTATAAAGATGCAGAACATACATATATGAGCTTCTACTTTTGAAACAACCAAACAAAGACACTGAGAACTCTGTGATATGTTGCAGTGAAAGAGGAAGAAGAGGAGAGAGTTCATCTCATATTAATATTTCAATATTAGTGTCCGTAGTTACCGTCCATCCGCCTCCGTCCGTCGTCATGTCACAATACACTGACTTCTTTGTCTTCATGTCGAGGTAAATCGTGTACACACCGTCTTTACTCCAAGGTCTGTGTCTGAGGATATCAGCACAATCCTTGTG